TCTAATAACTGTAATCGCTTAGATGACGTTTTTGAAAATTGTTGTAGAACTTCCAAAATTACATAGATAACTGATAAGTATAATAACGAAAGTCGAAAAATTATCGGAAATCGGAATGTTGATATTAATTATAGTAATAATATACAATATACTAATAAATGGTATCTTAGTYTGTGGTTGTAATAAATGGAGAAATACACACTTAGATATGTACTATATTAAATCGTCGGTAGATTTAAAAATAAAAACAATACAAAATACGGACAATGGGGGGGCTTCAGCCCGTTAGCCCTCCCTTGCGTACGCCACTGCCCCTACCTCTTATAACTAACGATATTATGAGCTGTGAAAACTGAAAGGCCATTTGAAAATAATCCAAATGATTAGTTGACATTTAATACTTATACATACCTACGGTTTTCGTATATTATATTATGTAATATAGGTAAGCATAAAATAAATGTATTTTGATGCGCAATAGTGAAATCATTTGCATAATTGGAATTTACTAGTAAGCACATTTTCGTAGTAGTTTCGTTAATGTTGTACCATTGTGGCGATGATTGACCTTAGGGCTGAATTGAATTTTCCAAAATATGCCGAAACTCGAGCAACCGATGATACTAATTATTCGATGGATGAAATACAATTTTATTGTTTTCAACATTAACTGTTAGTGGGTGCAGCATAGTCATTTTAAATTGGACGTTAATAACATTTATTAAGTACCTATACATCATGACCTATAGTAAATCACACGGTACACTCTTATTGCGTAGAAAGTCATTAAAAATTTGAAGGTTTGGGAAAATTACTATAAACAATACAATTATATTTTGTTCTTTTGTGTGATTACATTGAACATCAAGGAGTTAAGTACAGGCAATTTGTACGGGCGTGGGTCAGTGCTCAGCAGGACATGTGCACGTAGTGTTGTAAATATCATAATTACAAAAAATGTAGCTTGTGATTTAATATTTAGTTAAATTATTGGGATACTTTCACACGCGCATTGCGCACTAGTCAACGACGTATAGTCAAGTACAAAATGAATATAATTTTTTTTCTGTCCAAAAGTATAGACATTTTGCCAATTTTATCGTATGGACTTAYTAATCAAGTTTTCCTATGCAATTTTTGAAATCGAATATAATATATTATAGTCGTGAAGTAAACTTTGATCTTTTCATATTTTAATCAAATATTATTCTTGCTATACAATTTTTACATTTAAAATTGTTGATTTTTTATGAGGAACATTACTCTGTTCAGTGTTGACGTGTTATGCGCAATGTATAAAAGTTAAGTCACGGTGGATACGAAGACCGTGACAACTATTTCGTGCGCAACACCTACACTGCTCCCTATGAACGTAAATTTAAGCTGATGAATAATGAATTATGTCGATTACATTCTGCCAGCTTGGTTCATTTCAATTGAATTAGCATTTTTTTATACGTATAATATATTGGAGGTTATTTGTATGTTTAGTACAATCACTCGGTACGTTGTCAATATACATAATATGTAATATCAAGTTAACGAAGCAATCTATGGCAAAGCCAGGATTATGAAATGAGGAAGGAGGGGGTTAAACACCCAAATCTTCCCTGGCTACGCCACTGGAAGGCGAGTGGAAGCTATGATGGATATTAGAATGCAGCAAGAACACATATTACAAGCAGTCGAACTAGTCGAAGGTAAAGCACAACATTTCTGTACACTTGTAACCAACTAAGTGGGCATTCAATTTAATTAGGTTCATAATTAATAGAGTAATTATTATTTACTCTAAATGTATATAAAATCTATTATTAATTGTCTTATTTTGACAGGGAAAATATAAATTAAAAATTGAGTTAACRTTCAATTATTATAGTAYTACACCATTTATACTCAATCAATTTATAGTTTTGAAAGCTTGTCAAGCAAATTAAAGATAAAACCAATACTTATAARTAAATATTTACTTAATAATTATTTATATAGTACAATTTACATTATTATAGTGTATATTTTGTGTTATTTCTTATGCCATTTTGTATATTGCAGTGAAAAGAATTTTTACTATAGAATAATATAGTATCTACTTATTATTACTTTTTATGTAATATAATTTTAATGAGACAATATTTTAACATATTATAGCATTAATTTGAACARGGAAATTTTTCAAAAATTATAAAGGTTTTTGCTACTTGACTTATAGAAATCATTAAATGTGTCATGTGTGGGAATTACCGTGTAATTTRTACACTAAAAACAACAAATAACAAAGTTTAAGAAGTATTCAATAAGAAATCGTTCCTTCCTTAATTATTAAAATAAATAGTTTTTTAGATTTTACTGCGCAATAATGGTTTTATACTTTTATCAAACATTGGTGTGCATTTTATGTACTTTATTACTACACAGCGCCCTCATAGCACTGATAAAAATGTGCATTAACGGTGTATTGATTATTCCTTATGAAAAACACATACATGTTAAATGTAGTAGTGTAGAACATACAAATTTCACAAATTAACAGTAGGGAAATACACTACTTCTTGATAACTCTTCCTGTGTAAATGTTTGTTGGAGAGGGAGAGAGAGATTATTAACAAAACCTATTTTTTACATACATTTTTATCTACTTATGCATTTGCTTCCTCTATAATAATCAACATAATATATGATACAGTTGTCTTGTTTTTTTTTCTATGAGGTCAGAGATTAGACACAGAACCATCCAAATTTCTTGAAATTCGTTTGGTCRTGTTATCATGCAATACCTTGGACGTAGATAGAAATATACAAACATAGTATTAATATAATACAAAAATAAGTAATTAATTGATCTAACAAAAACTGTACAAAGATGTGTCTACTGAAGTTTCAATAGTTCGTGAAGTTTTTTTATATTTAAATCTAGTATACAAAAATACATAATGTTAGTTATATTTATAAAGAAAACATGCATTGCCAAAAAATTGACATTTAATCATCTTCATCATTGTTTATCGAATTTAAAGTTTGCACAAGACATGTCAGAGTACAGATTTTTTTTATAGTATTTACACGCACCAAAATCACAACAATAAATTATATTGTATTTTCTATTTCATAATTAAATACAATATCATATGGAAAAAAATAATATAATAAAAGTTTTATTTTTAAACTGTCTAGGATTTGATTGTCTATAAAATTTAACTATTGGAAGGGAGGGAGCAATTGTTCCATCAAATTACAAATAATACAATAATATAATTTCTTTTTAAATAATACTTATAAACTAAACATTATCGAATTACAATACATGGTACATCATTAAACGTAAGATATTATTAAAATTAATAAATTAAAATTTTTAATAATCATACAATTTTTTTTCTTCAAAATAACAATTCGTAGGAACAAAAAATGTCGATATACAAAACACGACTATAATCCACATTTTTTTTTGAAACTAATCAAAAAATAATAATAGTTGTAATACTCTACAGGGAAAAAACAAATTAAAATAAATTGGGTCTTTTGTACTTTAATGATCACATAAACATTGACTTGATAATAATATATATATWTTTTTTTTTCATGGTTATATAAATATTCTAAACATTAAAATTATKGTGAAAAAGAATATTATTTTTATTGTGTGTATTTATTTAATTGCACTGCACTTATCACATTTGTTTCCACATATATATGACTACAATACCACAAAAGGAGCATGGAATCAACTTTTATAATAATAATAATAATAATAATGTCATCACCTATTGATTGTTTGATATATATATTTTTTACTTGTAATTCATAACTATATAATCAACTTCATAAAAACAAACACACCCATGACATTAATACATGTCACACATATAATGTAGACATTTAGAACTAAAATACAATATGTACATGTATGTATGTAGTAATAACTATATTTATTTGTACATAACATCTAATTAGGTACAATTATATCCTCTGTGTTTTTATATTTTTAGTAGTTGTTGCATAAATGTMGTATTACAATACTGGGAATTTTGTAAACTAATAATTATAACAGCACAAAGATATTAAACACACATACATTCAAATATATTTGTATGAAAGCTTTCATATTTTACAAGTTATATATATATATATCATGATAAAGTGTGTGTCTTAAATTAAAAACAAACAAATAAATATTTAATAATACCTAACGGTAATCCACATCTTGAATCAGGAAAATAGTATATTACCACAGGAGAAGAATTTGAGATCATATCTGTATGGTATATATTAAAATATTAGATATTAAAGTGTTACAATGTGAGTAGTAAAACGGATACAACGCGTTGACAGCTCTTCAGATGAAATACAATACAAAAAGTTAACCAGCAAGTGTTAAAAGTTATCTACCAACCATACCATGCATGTCTCAAAATGTTTTACAAAAATAATGATAAGAATACACKAAAAATAAAATAGTTATTTTAAAAACTATAAAATGATTAAACAATTGTGTGACATACAGATATGATTAAAATGGTATCATAGAGGTAATATGAATTATTACTATTTCAAGAGCTGTATACAGTGTTTACTGTTTATTCATTTTGATATGCTATATTATAGAAGGTAGATACTGTTTGCTTTACTAACATGCATTAAGTATTCAGAGTGAACCATGGTATCTAACCATTTTCTCATGTTAGTTAAATGAGTTATTGAGAAAATAACATGGTCCATTCTAACTATAGATACATATAAACACAATATAAATTATATATATATTTATAAACACACATAATAATATGTAATAAACTACTTTTCAATTTTTTTGTTTTTTAAAGGATCTTAAAAAGTTCTTAATAACAATTATTATTGCTTTTACATTGACTACTGAATACCATGTTAAATAAGTTAAATAGAATATGTTATTTCCATTTATTATTAGGTATACTTACATGCTAAATATTTGGTCTGTCATGCTTAAATGCAAGACAAAAATTATCACAATATAAATATTATATTATTTTAAATGACAATAATTATTTATGATTTTATTATTATTATTATTCTCTCTAATATTACAATTAAATTATAAGTCCTAAAGGTGCTTGATTGAATGTTACGAACTAGTTAATCTAGGAACTGATCGCGCAAAATTATTATATCCATTAGGATTACACGTTAATAACTAATTGTAACACAGAAATATAAAATTTTTGAGTCCGAAAAGTGCAAACGGTAGATGTTTTAACGTTTCAGTCGATTTTTTTACAATAACGTTATAGTACGTTGGAAAATGAAAAAGAGAAAAATGAAAAAGATAAATAATTAGTAATTTGATGGTCGAGATAGTTAAAATACCTAAACTATAGGTATTTTACCTGTAGAATTATGTCATTATTTTATAGGTCACACACCTTTTGGATGAGAATATTTTGTGTCAACAGGAACTGTGTATGTCGTCTGTGCATTGTATTAATGCAAATTTCATTTGGTGACTGGGACTTGGACAACATAATGCATCAGTCGAGTGGGCAGACTACCTGCATTTAATTGATAAAACTCTACTAGTTGTAAAAGGTCATAAAATTTAATCACACCATTGTCTAGCGTAAAACAAACTTGATCGTTGAGTGGATCCATTTGCTGTAAAAATATATTTAAAATTTGACTAATTGTTAAGAAATTATAAGTTTATTAATAAATAAATTTGAATACATACCGTTACAATAGGTGTATGAATAATTTTACCACCACATTTGAATGTTAGTACATATGAACCACATTTACTTTTGCTCTCTCGTATTAAAAACACGCTGCAATTTTTATTTATATATAAGTTAAGATGAATAGTTATTATTTAAAAAATAAATTTGRTGTACATACCCATCTTTGTTCCCAAGTCCATTAAGGACATTGGCAGCTTGATCACGGCTCATGTTTTTATGATACCATGGCTGAGATAAGTGAATATCATTTTCAAGTTTTGTGACAGCTGTTTGAAGGCCAGGAGTTGATCGACCACTAGATCGCCAACTTCGCCGCACACTACCAGTCTCGGCTTGAGCAATGGCAAGTGCTTCTTTGGGATCTTCTACAATTCGACCAACATTTCCAGAAAAGTCCATAGCTACGTGGGACCGTACGCTCTCGTTGGGCAATGGCTTTTTATTGTATTCATATTCATTAGCATCGTTATGCTTTTTCACAAATGATCTGTAGTTGTCTCTTAATTGCTTTCCATACTACATAACACCAAATAGATGTTTTAAGTAAATATTTAAGCGATCAATTACTATTTATTTAACAAAATAATTTAATACTCACTTTCGACAATCTCATAGCGCACATCCAATAAGATTGTGTTGAATGGGAAGTACACGCAATATATTGCTTTATTCCACTATCAGGCACCAAACATAGACAGTGAACTGTAGGAGAGCCAGCTACCTTCTTATTGGTGGTGAATATTCTGAAGTCATCTAGGTAAGCCCAGACTTTTACTTGACATTTATCTTGCGATATAGCCTGCAATAATATAGTAAGACATTATATAGTAAACAATAATTCAAACTAGTCAGGCGGAAACAAATGACACCTAATGGTATTTTCTAAGTAGGAAATGTGGCTATTCATAATATTTTACTAGTTTCATAGAACAGTTTTATTCCGAGAAACAACGACGTACTTAAAATATTAACATGATATTAAGTCAAGACAAACGCAAATTCAGCTAAAAAAAATGTTTTAAATCAGCTATTTTGAATATTTATAAACCTACCTCAACATAAAAAACATGGACTATCTTTGTTAGCATAAGCATAAAATCTATGATCAGTGTTGGTGTACGGATTCATTAAATCATTTATTTTTGGATTTTTGAAAATTCAACATTTTTTGATTCTTAAGTTGTTACTATTTATAAATTTAAAAAACTGAAATCATGCAAATTCTCATCACAGTGTTAAGTAAGAGTGTACCTATGGCATAAATGATTTAAACTATAGTGAAAATTTGATAACAAATTTAACGAACCCTCATATTATGGACTGATAGAACAGTGAATTGAGTAACAAGTACRATTATAGAAGTATTTTACAGTTGTCAGTCAATGTTAATACAATAGAGAATAGATAATGAAAATCCGATAATTCATCGACAGACAAAAATGGATTCTTTTAAACCATAACATCATCTGTGACATAAAAAAATACATTAAATAAATAGGTAACAACTAACATATTATAATATATTTCATAGTTTTTGTAATAAAACTATAGTATCTACTAAAAAAGCATATAAACAGTGTAAAAAGATGCGGATACCACATATTATATTATGTCTGTGTAAATTATATATACAATATTATATGAGCATAGGCGTAGTGTGATGATTTTTTTTTTTGGTTTTTTTGGAGGGGACTAGTATTTTTTTTTTGTGTTATCAACGACAATGGCGCAACTTTTCGTTAATTATTTTGCATAAAGGCTAAAATGACTCAGGTACAGAGGTACAGAACATATATCCTACAAAATAATATAACTACAGAAAAATGTTAAGGAATAAAATATAAAAAGGATTAAAGAAGCACATTATTAAACAAAATATAAATAAATAATACACTATAAATTATATGATTATCATATAGGTACATATTTTGTATTTGAATTAAATATAAAAAWTTTTTTTTAATTTTTTATAGAAAACGATTACTATATTAAAAGGTAAAACGCCTGCTTTTTTTGGGCAAATATATTAAGAACCTTTTCAGATTTAATATTATTAGTTAAGTCCCTTTCAATATGAAGTAACGATAGATTTTCAAATCCATCGTTAGCGATAACATTTTGTAGCCATGTTTTTATTCRCCACATTACTGAAAAAGATCTCACATATGRAAGTATAAAACAGTGAACTTTTACATAATGGGCTAAACAAATTTCTGATGGGAGGCGGTTATAGCCCGCTTARTCCCCACCATTCTACGCCTAAGTAGTATTATGGATTGAGAATACAATATTAGACAAAAACGATGAAATGATTCAATACGAAAATTCTGACAAAACTATACTTATCGCATTCGCATATATTACAGAATACTATRAATTCTGTATGAAAAAATACGAAAGAGTACCAATAATAATATTTCTGAAAACATTTTTTTGATCTTGTATTTCCAAAATGTTTAAAATACCTAAATAATTTAAACATTTTAATATTGTGTTATTAGTAGAAGAATTTTTCATGAATTATTTCAAGCCAGAAAAAGGCACGTGAGCCCCACAGTAGCGTTAATTTTAGGTTTTTCCCAGGTAATTATTTTTAATATATAAATTATAAAGAATATAATATTAGTTAAATATAACTATAATACCACATTAAAACAGAATCGCTTAGAAGATTTATAATTTTAATTTAAATTATTATAAAATGATATTATTATACTAAATTATTCTAAGCATTATGCAAATACATAATACACTTCAATGTTAATACGTGTAGATTGAATCATTTCAATGATAAAACTATAAATATCATACTTACAATTTTAAAACATTAACTGTAGTTAAAAAGCCAAATCTAATGACAGCAAGTTCAACAATGTATGAAATGATTATTTGGGCAATGGCGATCGTGCCGCGGTTTTGTTCCAAAATGAAGTATTATTAGAATAAACTGCAATTCCTAGGAGGGCTACGCGTTATTATGAAATAAAAAAATGATTCAGTTCCAATTCAGACGAATGAATACAAAACGTTTTTTTAGAGAGAAAAATAATTTTTATTTTTAACACAATATAACTTTCCAATTGAAATTTTCGCGGGCTCATAGTCTGTTAATCAACTTCAAATCAACAGTCAAGAGTGTTTACGATTTTTGATTTCAAGAAAACTAAAAAAGTATAAAAAGTTAATAGGCAGTAACAGAAGAAAAAAGTTATCGGCTAACGAACGACGACGAACGAAGTGACGAGTGACGACTGAAGTAAGTTGTCTTCTCGTCTATTGACAATCGATTATAAACGCTAATCACCACACTATAATATACAACTGTACAAGCCCAAGTATTAATAGTAGACAATTRATACCGGGAACATTGTGATCATGGAAATTGAGATAAGTCATAAGATTTAGAATTTAGATAAGATAATATTCACGGCAAACAATTATTTTTGTCGTACATGATTATCTTTGTACGTATTATTATTAAAATGGATAATTATTATTACGACTCGGGGAAATCCAAATTTGGAAATATTCTGATTGTAAATTTTTATCGTTGACTTCTGTAGAGTGTAACATTATACAACGTATTTTGATATTTAATATTTTTTATGCATAATACAAACATACAATTGTGAAGCCAATTAAAAAWAATAAGTTAGTCTAGAATTACGTATATTAACCAGTAACTAACGAATTCCAACACCATTTCCATTGACGCAGCTAGAAATGTGAATTTTAAATAACCAAGAAAGACACACACTTGTTGAAGGAACGGGGTTATTATTAATCTTTACAATAATTATTTGCACATCATTAAACGTCACTAAACTATTACAACGGCATACGATAAAATCGTAAAAATATATCAGTGCCACGGCCCGCGGTTGTGTGTTAAAGCCGTTAAAGGTATAGGAGTGGCTAGGCAGTCGGAGTACAATCAAAATGCATTGTGATCAATCAACTCCAAGGACGAATTTATGACGCATTGAGACTATCTATATCTATAAAAATGGCGCGCGCCGGTACGAGTGCATAACGATTCATATACATATATAGTTATAGTCACCAGGTCTCGACGTGTTACATTATACTAATGCATGTGCATGTGCATGTGCATATTGTCCGAGAGAGACGGACGGAGATTGATTACGATAGATAATAATTTAATATAACACGCGTAGTAATAAGACGTGCCTCCCCGCCGGTTCAGCGTAAGGCACATTTTGCAGCGTTTCGTCTATTACGCCGAAGGTAACAAAAAACTTATTGCTTACAACAGAATTATTATGATCTCTTGACGACCGCACAGATTTCATCGAGGTCGCCTCTCGTAAGTAATATAATATGTATAGTTTATTAGATTTAGACGGCGGCACGTTTTTCATACTATTATTGTGTTTAATTAAAATAATATAATATGATATTATCAATCGTGCAACTTCAATATAACGCAAATACGCAATGCACCGATAAGTGGCCAAGTCTTATCAATATATAGAAAAAAATTATGTTGAAACTCGAGTAATTAAAGGCTACAAGTTTTACCATACACCATACATACATATTCTACTATCGCCAGACATAAAATATTGAACACGATTTTTGTTTATTTTTATTATTTAATTTTCTAACACGTACAGGAATAATCGGAAACKCTGACTGTATTCTGAACATACATTTCAAAAATAGGAAGTTATTATTATTCTTGGGCCAACTCAAAACAATTGAACACACAAAGAATAAACATCAGCGTGGTAAATGTTTGAAATTATATATTTGATTTAAATCGTCTAATATTGCCACGTCGTCGGCAGATAGATCCCGACAAAAAATTCTGTAATGTATGTATTTCAAATTTAAGATTATACTCATTGTATGTAAAAAATACAAAATAAAATAATCATATCTTCTTCAATCAATTTAMCTGTATAAATAATTTGTTACATGGATTTAGTGTAATGGAATGGGTAACTACCGTCAATTCAATAGTGTATAATTGTATATACTATATTATAATATTTGAGTTTTAATATTAAAGTAGGCAATAATACGATAAATAATATCGAATGTATACCTAACAAAGACCTCAATATGTATGAACCGCGTGTAATATAAATAGTAAAAAACGCGATAGCGCAGGTATATTATATTTTATGTATAAAATAGGTACCGTAATTGAGATAAGTAGCAAAAAATGCCGATTACCTGTATGGCTGTATATTATATACACTGGCAGGCAATAAATTTACAAGATCAAGTGAGTACATTTATCAAACGAATGAGGACTCTCAATAATTAAACAATAAACCCATCGATACAATACGGTGTCGGGCGGTAGAGCAGTGGCCCGTCTGCCWTGTATAGTAAAAAAAATTTACAGAACCAATAAAAAATAACGGGCAATAATTGTTATGCAATCGGACAAGCACTCGAGGTGTTAACAAATAATATAAAATATATTATCGAACGCGCGCGCGCGCACACACACACACATACGCTATAAACGTATACCCGTGCATTGCGAATGTAAGATTTCGAAAAGATAACCACGCTTCAGTCGTGTGCGCCAAGTATGACTTAAGTATATTGTAATAGCGGATATAAGTGATCAAACCAGAATTTTAAGCAATACGAGACGTAATCCCGATTAACCATCATAGTTAAACTCATATTTCACCGGAAATAAGATTTCATATTAAATTTCACTACTAATTTAGTATATCTTACTACAGCTTCTTTTACTGATCATTTTTATTAAATAACTTGTATAAAATTACAAACAGTACAAACCACAGTTTCGAC